TGTTTAAACGAGACCAGAGGCTCACACGGGAGCAAATTCGGCTCCTGTTAAATTTACTTGGACGAAGTGTTATGGAAACCAAAGGTGTACCATTATCACACGCTGTCAACAAATTCAAGTTAAGTGTTCTTTCCGAAACCCATGTATCTTTCATTTATGGCCATTAATGTCATTATATAGGGTGACCCGGTTAGAACGCGACATAGCCTCAAACTAAAGGTAATTAAGCCAGGTCTTCATGTTCCATGTACAGTTTTCTCTGAAATACTTGTCATATATAGGATTCTGGCTTCACAGCTAGCGCACTTTTGACAGGTCAAGACGAGGAAGCAAGATTTGTGCACCAGTTACTGGGTGATATGGAAGCTACCTCAAAGAGGATAATTTGGTGTCTACACCCTAGTTATACCTGGTGGACTAACCTGCTGTACTATAAGATAAGGAACCTCTTCAATGTATGTAGTTAATTTTGTAGTTTGATTGGCTGCATATATATATAAATATAAACCCCCCCCTAATGTGTAGAGGATCGATTTGTGAGATTATGAGATTATTGCAGAAATACAGTCCACTTATCATTATACAAATTGCTATCGAAGTATATAAATTAACGTAAATATAAATTCATATAAATTAAACAAATATAAAACTCACAGGTCGGTTCCCACACACTTGGCACCAGCAGGAATTACAGAAGACAGATGAGACCTACTATCAAAAGTTATCTTAACCACGCGAAGAGGCTGATGACAACGACCACGAGGGGGTCGAGTGAACGTATCAATCTGGCGAATAGAATGGCCTGGGACATCAACGACATGTTTAATATCCTCATAGCAGTTTGTCCAGTTCCCTATCACCAGTCGCAACATGGTACGGGAGAATAGCTGTACTAATGATAGCATTTAACCGGCCATTTTTGGAGAACCAATCAGGGGTCTCCCCAATGCACGACGAGGCTAAGTGGGCAGCCGCTTCCTGAGAAGGGGCTGCAACAACATGTGTACCAGTATGGGTGGGGTTAAAAGTGACCAAAGTATCCACCGAATCAACTACCTTACCTTACCTTGAGGTTACCTTGAAGTGCTTCCGGGAATTAGTGTCCCCGCGGCCCGGTCGTCGACCAGGCCTCCTGGTTGCTGGACTGATCAACCAGGCTGTTAGACGCGGCTGCTCGCAGCCTGACGTATGAGTCACAGCCAGGTTGATCAGGTATCCTTTGGAGGTGCTTATCCAGTTCTCTCTTGAACACTGTGAGGAGTCGGCCAGTTATGCCCCCTTGTGCATTAATTCATAAACTAGGTGTATATGAATTAATAAATCATCTGGATGTGTAGAATCAACAAGACTGAGATCAAAATACTTAGTCCATGTAGCAGAACCAAACAAAGATTGGAATATATTAGAACTGGAAGGAATCATGCACATTCGACTGCGGAAGCGACAGCGCCGAGGACCCCCAGTAAGAGGGGAAGGGGAGGGGGGAATAAAGGCGCAGTTGTTACAATGAGAGATGGAGCAACTCCAGGTAATGAGGTGGTCACCACATGGGGCTCAACCCTACCACGGAGGTGGGAGGGGGGCAGAGAGGAGTTAGAGTCAGGAGAGTTAGAGAAGCAGCTTGGTCTGGGCCCAATGTAGCGGGGGATACACAGCCTGGCATTCCATCATAGTCAGACTTGGGGGCCCTGGTCGCCCACCCCACGATTCTGAGAAGTTAAAGTCAGATATCTGCATCTAAACTAACAGGTAAAAAATGTATTTTACAAATAAGTCCCTCATGTCCACCATGGATCCATAATTAGAGGATAGGACACTCGACACGATGCACCCAAGCGTTGTATCATAGGTATCCGTCCTGCAATCGCAACCTTAAGCACCGTCAGTTCGTCGATATCGGGCTCAGAAACTAAGGCAAAGATTGACAATAAAAGCATTCCCTTTTTCGAAACGTTGGGTACGTTTTTGAGGCACACAGGTGAAAGAGTGTGCCTCCGCAAACACCCGAGCGTCAAAACAGAAGAAGACCCTTGAAGAATAATCTACAATGGCAAAAAGTCGGCGGAAAATGACAATCAGAACGGGGAAGAGAGGGAAGGAAAAATGAAACGTTAGCTGAAAAGGCATCCACCACAATTCATGAAGAGAACAGCAGAAGCATAAGGCTTAAAAAAAAAAAAAAAAAAAAAAAAAGGGTCCCATGCTACAGCAGCTGCCCACCAAGCCATCACGACGGCAACTAGCTGCTGGAAAGGGATGATGATTGTTTGATTGATGAAGATGAAGCCACCCAAGAGGTGGCACGGGCATGAATAGCCAGTAAGTGGAAGATTTTTTGTTGGAGTGAATGTGAGGTTTGGTCATGAATGGAAAGGGGGGGGGGAGGTCAACTGGAAAAATGAGGTGACTAACCAGCAATTAAGGGCCGCCAAGTTCATGTCTGGATTTGTTAACTTGACTCGTATTGACGCATCACCGACACAAATATGAACAGATAAGTAACGCTTTCTTGGACTATTTTGATTATTTATCTAAACCTTGTAAGAATTATAGCATTGAGGTAAAGCTATGAAATAACGTCACCTTGTATATTACTTCTAAAAATAAGAGGAAATGTAAATGGCTGACTGAAGGAGATTATGCAAATCTTACTCAACAATAAACTTCAAATATTTATTTCCATAAACGTTAGCTACACTTGAATATGCAGCACTGTAAATATTATCCATACATATTAATTATGCACGAACCTGCAGCACCATTAAATGTTATCAAAAGTATTAGTTATGTAGAAGGCCGCAGACATATGTTATCATTAAATTACTTACGCATTAGGCTGTAGAATGTAGCAGTGTAATGTTATCAATAAATTACTTACGCATCAGGCTGCAGAAAGTAGCAGCGTTATCAATAAATTAGTTACGCATCAGGCTGCAGAATGTAGCAGTGTAATGTTATCAATAAATTAGTTACGCACCAGGCTGCAGAATGTAGCAGTGTAATGTTATCAATAAATAAATTACGCATCAGGCTGCAGAATGTAATGTTATCAATAAATTAGTTACGCATCAGGCTGCAGAAAGTAGCAGCGTTATCAATAAATTAGTTACGCATCAGGCTGCAGAAAGTAGCAGCGTTATCAATAAATTAGTTACGCATCAGGCTGCAGAAAGTAGCAGCGTTATCAATAAATTAGTTACGCATCAGGCTGCAGAAAGTAGCAGCGTTATCAATAAATTAGTTACGCATCAGGCTGCAGAAAGTAGCAGCGTTATCAATAAATTAGTTATGCATCAGGCTGCAGAATGTAGCAGCATAATGTTATCAATAAATGTTAGTTATGCATCAGGCTGCAGAATGTAGCAGCATAATGTTTTCAATAAATATTAGTTACGCACGAGGCTGCAGCAGCGTAAATGTTATCAATAATATTAGTTACGCACGAGGCAGCAGCAGCGTAAATGTTATCAATAATATTAGTTACGCACGAGGCAGCAGCAGCGTAAATGTTATCAATAATATTAGTTACGCACGAGGCAGCAGCAGCGTAAATGTTATCAATACTATTAGTTACGCACGAGGCAGCAGCAGCGTAAATGTTATCAATAATATTAGTTACGCACGAGGCAGCAGCAGCGTAAATGTTATCAATAATATTAGTTACGCACGAGGCTGCAGCAGCGTAAATGTTATCAATAATATTAGTTACGCACGAGGCAGCAGCAGCGTAAATGTTATCAATAATATTAGTTACGCACGAGGCTGCCACAGCGCAAATGTTATCAATAATATTAGTTACGCACGAGGCAGCAGCAGCGTAAATGTTATCAATAATATTAGTTACGCACGAGGCAGCAGCAGCATAAATGTTATCAATAATATTAGTTACGCACGAGGCAGCAGCAGCAGCGTAAATGTTATCAATAATATTAGTTACGCACGGGGCTGCCGCAGCGTAAATGTTATCAATAATATTAGTTACGCACGAGGCTGCTGCAGCGTAAATGTTATCAATAATATTAGTTACGCACGAGGCTGCAGCAGCGTAAATGTTATCAATAATATTAGTTACGCACGAGGCTGCAGCAGCGTAAATGTTATCAATAATATTAGTTACGCACGAGGCAGCAGCAGCGTAAATGTTATCAATAATATTAGTTGCGCACGAGGCTGCCGCAGCGTAAATGTTATCAATAATATTAGTTACGCACGAGGCTGCCGCAGCGTAAATGTTATCAATAATATTAGTTACACACGAGGCTGCAGCAGCGTAAATGTTATCAATAATATTAGTTACGCACGAGGCAGCAGCAGCGTAAATGTTATCAATAATATTAGTTACGCACGAGGCTGCAGCAGCGTAAATGTTATCAATAATATTAGTTACGCACGAGGCTGCAGCAGCGAAAATGTTATCAATAATATTAGTTACGCACGAGGCTGCAGCAGCGTAAATGTTATCAATAATATTTGTTACACACGGGGCTGCAGCAGCGTAAATGTTATCAATAATATTAGTTACGCACGAGGCTGCCGCAGCATAAATGTTATCAATAATATTAGTTACGCACGAGGCTGCAGCAGCGTAAATGTTATCAATAATATTAGTTACGCACGAGGCAGCAGCAGCGTAAATGTTATCAATAATATTAGTTACGCACGAGGCTGCAGCAGCGTAAATGTTATCAATAACATTAGTTACGCACGAGGCTGCAGCAGCGTAAATGTTATCAATAATATTAGTTACGCACGAGGCTGCAGCAACGTAAATGTTATCAATAATATTAGTTACGCACGAGGCTGCAGCAGCGTAAATGTTATCAATAATATTAGTTACGCACGAGGCTGCAGCAGCGTAAATGAACGATGCTTCACTAACTACATACTTGTGGTCTTTCAACATTTGTCTGGCTAAATATTGCATGCCTTCCTACTGTACGCCACATTCGCATACTGAGTCTGTAATTAAATGTAATTATTAAACACAAACTTGTACTTACATGACCTCACTCGCCTCAGAACAGACAACCAGTCCTTCATCCTTGACTGTGTATTGTGCTGAAAATAAACAAGTAATGGTAAAACAAACGAGATAAGTCTTCCACACCAGAAGATCATGTGTAGATATGTTCAAAATAATAAATACTAAACTATATCATTCCTGCAACTATATATTTTCTAGAGCAGAGCTATTTTCTAAACTATGGTCATTACTCCTTTTTCATATATTGTCCTTATTAATGGTCGCCTCATACACTTAGTACATGTTCTCTCTGGTATCATAACCTATTATAGACTGAGGAAAGTCCAGTGCCTATTACTAGGCTATGTACTACTTAACAGATATGTAGTGTAACGTATTATACTATTCCATTTAAGCTGTAGACTAACATTGTAACCTATTATGTTTGATTAATAGTCTATGTACATAAACCCCCCAAATATGTGAGCAGGAAAACACCTGAGAGGATAATCACAGAACGTAGTCTACTTTTGAGTTAATAATTATAAATTAAAATAAGTTTAACAAATTTAATAATTTAATGCTTAAATAAATGAACAAGTAAAATCCTGCTGGGAAAGTTCCCCACACTGAACACTGCCTCACCTTATGACCATTACACTCAGTACAGGTCCCCTCTGGTATAATAACCTGTACACTGCCTCAATGTATGGCCCCCTACACTCAGTACAGGTCCCCTCTGGTATAATAACCTGTACACTGCTTCAACGTATGCCCCCCTACACTCAGTACAGGTCCCCCTCCCTCTGGTATAAAATCCAATATACTGCCTCAACCTATGGTTCCTATACTCAGTACATGTCCCCCTCTGGTATCATAACATGTACACTGCCTCAACCTATTTCCCTTTCTCTCAGTACAGGCCCCCTCTGGTATCATAACCTGTACAGTGCCTCTTATGGCCCCATACATATTGAAAAAAGGACCCCTAGTGGGCCATGGCGCCGGACACATTGCAAAAAGATCCCCAGGGGAACCATTGCCCCCTACATATTGCAGAAAGGACTCCCGGAGGACAATGGCCGCCCAGTTTGGAAATAAATGTTCTCGACAAATTATTGTTTACAATAATATTATTGTTCTGAGTAAAAATACTGTATTCCGTTAGTGTATAATTTTCAATGCATCATTATATTTGTCATTGATTAGTTGACTTTTTAGTATAATGAACCTTAAATTATTAATAAGCATTAACTAGTTAAAAGTCAAATCTACAGGGTATAATACAAACTTTGTAACTCCTCGAGTGCCGAGTGAAACATCATATAAACAGTCTTCATTCCTCCCACGGAAGCACAATCAAAGTCATGCTTCTCGAAGTCTTCTAAGACCCTGCCACTGCTGCGCATCTGAGGAAAAAGTCAATTCGTAGAAATGCAGGTTTAAGGAAGTTTAAACTTAATCAATTCCAAGACAAAGACTCGTTAACTGCCATATTATTGTCCGCTTATCTGTTATGCAGCATAACGTTTGCAAATATTTTCAACTTCAAAGTACAAAGCATCTTCGAAAACCTTCACTTTAAGAATCTTGCAGTATTATCCCTTCATAAATAAGCAATGTAGCCAATCTACAGTATTTGGTTTTCAGTAATCTAATAAAAATAGAGGCAATTTAATAATGGTCTTAAAAGATAAAAGACGGTGCTTTTGACTAAAATATTTACCATTGGAAGGCGTTTTCAAATACCTTCAACTTGAGCAATAAATGTATGCAATTCATATTATCATGGATGCAGCAAGCATATCACAGTAGACGATACACTAGTATCTAATCCCATATTTATTATTTGCTCAATCTTGGCAAAGTAAAGGAAACCAGCCGTTTTCTTCTATATGTTATTTATCTTTAATTTGTATATTATATCAATGTCATGCACTGAATAACATACCGGTTCCAACGTCAGTCTGAATAACACAATGAATACCTTAAGACAATATTGTTGATAAACGTTTAAAGTAATTTATTCCTGGCCCGTTAATGTTTGTTCGTGTGAATAGCAAGTTTGACTGCTGTTTGGAACCTCTTGGAGTTGTTGCACTCTAGTTAACTAGACAATGTTAATTTTGTGCCTTATCATGCACAATAAATCCATCCAGGTGTTAGTTGTGGATCTGTTACAGAGGAACATAACATATCCAGTACCTGGACTGGCAACATTATTTTACCAGCATTATTCTATAAATATTTAATGATGATTTTATATTACTTGAAATTTTCAAAAATTAGACTAGACTCACAACGTTCTTTTGATAATATTATGGAGTAAACTTGTTTAACATTTGTGAAATAATTAAACTTCAAATATAATAATACAAAGTGTGGTAATAAATCACATTAACAGTACACAAGAATAAAAGGTGGTAATAATTTACGTTTAAGTAAACAATAATACAACATGTGGTATTATTCACATTAAAGTACAGAATAATACAAGGTAGTAATAATTCATGTTTAATTACAGAATACAAGGTAGTAATAATTAATGTTAAATTACAGAATACAAGGTAGTAATAATTCACGGTAAGGGACACAATATTTCAAGGTGATAATAACTCACGTTAAAGTACACAATAATACAAGGTTTGGTATTAATTTCATCAAAGGAAACATGTTGACATGTCACCCCATCGTCCTGTTCTTATAATAACTATGAGGACCATAGTATATATACCGACGTACAACGAAATTAGAGAGTAAAACTCTGAACTACTGAGTTGAACAAGCCGGAAAACAATTTTGTATTTGTGTTGCTTAGACAAACTAACCTAACCTAACTTAACCTTCCAAGGCCTAATACACGATATCTGAGACCAAATATAGTAAATGTTATACTAGGCCTAGGAATATTTAAGTTTGTTTTTAGGTTCATTTATTTTAAAAGAATTCCTTACTAGTCAGTATACTACTATCTTAAAGGTAAGTACATACGACTTCGTGACTATTGACGACCATCACAATACTTGCAATAGGAACAACCATCTAAACAGGAGGATGGGTTGCAGCAGTGTATCAGCAGGCGATCCAGCCTACCAATATATGTGGCCAGTCAAGGCGTGTTTACTTCTGGGAAGCAAAGACCATGTATGGCTTCCTGCGTGGCTATAATGATGAACGTATTGACTAGGGGCCAGATTCACGAAAGCACTTACGAACGTGTACATCTTTCCTCAATCTTTGACGGCTTTGGTTACATTTATTAAACAGTTTACAAGCATGAAAACTTGCCAATCAACTGTTGTTATTGTTATAAACAGCCTCCTGGTGCTTCCGAGCTCATTAACTGTTTAATAATTGTAAACAAAGCCACTAAAGTTTGAGAAAAAATGTACAGGTTCGTAAGTGTTTTCGTGAATCTGGCCCTAGGGCACATATTTGTCTCTGGCTCATGAATTTTTTGTTAACAGAGCAATGATTTGACTAATTTAGACTCCTATTACAATAATTCCTACCCAGACTTACGACTCCCATCACTTTAATCCATACCCAGACTTACGACTTCCATCACATTAATCCATACCCAGACTTACGACACCCATCACATTAATCCATACCCAGACTTACGACTTCCATCACATTAATCCATACCCAGACTTACGACTCCCATCACATTAATCCATACCCAGACTTACGACTCCCATCACATTAATCCATACCCAGACTTATGACTCCCATCACATTAATCCATACCCAGACTTACGACTCCCATCACATTAATCCATACCCAGACTTATGACTCCCATCACATTAATCCATACCCAGACTTACGACTCCCATCACATTAATCCATACCCAGACTTATGACTCCCATCACATTAATCCATACCCAGACTTATGACTCCCATCACATTAATCCATACCCAGACTTACGACTCCCATCACATTAATCCATACCCAGACTTACGACACCCATCACATTAATCCATACCCAGACTTACGACTCCCATCACATTAATCCATACCCAGACTTACGACTCCCATCACATTAATCCATACCCAGACTTATGACTCATCACATTAATCCATACCCAGACTTACGACTCCCATCACATTAATCCATACCCAGACTTATGACTCATCACATTAATCCATACCCAGACTTACAACTCCAATTACATTAATCCATACCCAGACTTATGACTCATCACATTAATCCATACCCAGACTTACAACTCCAATTACATTAATCCATACCCACTTATGACACCCATCACAATAATCCATACCCAGACTATCATCACATATATCCCAACCCAGACTCCCATCACAAATCCCAACCCAGACTCCCTTCACATAAATCCCAACCAAGACTCCAATCACAAATACTTATCTAGCCTTCAATTACATAAATCCATACAATACAGTACTACCATCACACAAACCCATACCAGCCTCCCATCACAAAAATCCCTAACTAGACTTCAGAAGATGGAGAAACGACGACGTTTCGGTCCGTTCTGGACCATTATCAAGTTGCATAATTTGATAATGGTCCAGGGCGGACGTACGACTTGCTAACCCTTGGACCATTAATGGTCCAGGATGGAGTGAAACGTAGTATTCTCCATGTTCTGGTGTTTGGGTTTGTCTTCATAGCTTCAGCCACGTGATTGTGCCTCATCGTCTTCAATCCTTGCCCAGATTTCCATCACATAAATCAATATCAATAATCCAATCATATAAATCAATACGCTGACTCGCATCATATAAATGAATAATCAGAATCCCATCATAGAAATGAAACCCAAACTCCCATCAAGTAAATCACCACCCAGTTTCCTATCATATATCAGTACCAAGAATCCCGTCATAAATATCAACACCCAGACCCCCATCGCATATATATCAACATCCAGACCCCCATCATATATATATCAACACCCAGACTCCCATCATATATATATCAACACCCAGACTCCCATCATATATATATCAACACCCAGACCCCCATCACATATATATCAACATCCAGACCCCCATCATATATATATCAACACCCAGACTCCCATCATATATATATCAACACCCAGACTCCCATCATATATATATCAACACCCAGACTCCCATCACATATATATCAACATCCAGACCCCCATCATATTTATATCAACACCCAGACTCCCATCACATATATATCAACACCCAGACCCCCATCATATTTATATCAACACCCAGACTCCCATCATATTTATATCAACATCCAGACTCCCATCATATTTATATCAACACCCAGACTCCCATCATATATATATCAACACCCAGACTCCCATCATATTTATATCAACATCCAGACCCCCATCATATTTATATCAACACTCAGACTCCCATCATATATATATCAACACCCAGACCCCCATCATATTTATATCAACACCCAGACCCCCATCATATTTATATCAACACCCAGACTCCCATCACATATATATCAACACCCAGACCCCCATCATATTTATATCAACACCCAGACTCCCATCATATTTATATCAACATCCAGACTCCCATCATATTTATATCAACACCCAGACTCCCATCATATATATATCAACACCCAGACTCCCATCATATTTATATCAACATCCAGACCCCCATCATATTTATATCAACACTCAGACTCCCATCATATATATATCAACACCCAGACCCCCATCATATTTATATCAACACCCAGACTCCCATCATATTTATATCAACATCCAGACCCCCATCACATATATATCAACACCCAGACTCCAATCACATATATATCAACACCCAGACCCCCATCATATTTATATCAACATCCAGACTCCCATCACATATATATCAACACCCAGACTCCCATCATATATATATCAACACCCAGACTCCCATCATATATATATCAACACCCAGACTCCCATCATATATATATCAACACCCAGACTCCCATCACATATATATCAACACCCAGACTCCCATCATATATATATCAACACCCAGACCCCCATCATATATATATCAACACCCAGACTCCCATCATATATATATATCAACACCCAGACTCAAATTATGTAAATCAATAACAAAACTCATATAATACAAATAAATATGTAGTGTTACAAAGATGAATATGTAAGAAGACTTACAGTGATGGAAACTGTGTGTAGAGTGCTACAATGAAGACTGTACGTTGAGTTACAACAATGACGATTGTGAGTATTTAGACTTGAAATGATGAAGATTTTGTAGCGAGATTTCAAATAATAAAGATCATGCAGTGAGATTGGTGCAAGGATGAATACTGTGTAGTTACTTACATTGAAGATTGTGTAGTATGACTTACAATGATGAAAATTGAGTGTAGTGAGATTTCCAGTGATGAAGATTGTGT